GAAGGTGGAAGGCGGCGGAGCAGTGGCGGAGACATGGTACGAGGAAGATAGGTTATGTTTTAGGGTTTGTATATTTTTTCGGACAATTTTATGTAAAAGTAAAACTCAATTGTGGTCGTTGGATTAGATAAAATTGATGGCCAGGATTGTGTGACGCCAAACGGCGTCGTTTAGTTATAGGGGGAACTGGACCGGGTATTTTGGGATTGGGTTTGGGCCATTTTGGCCGGATCTGGTTGGGTTTATTGGGCTCGAATTGGCCCAAGACTTGTGGGCTGGTCCTTTTCATTTCCATTTATTTTGGTTTATTTTCTTCTCTTTTCTTCTTTATTTATTTGAATTTTGGATTTTATTAAATGTAATATTAAAAATAGCCAAAACCTAATTTAATTTTAAAATGAGACTAATTAAATTTTCTAGAATTAACTAGATCATAATTTTAAAAGGAGATTAAACGAAAGTGAAATTAAAGGAACAAAAGATATAAAAGGATTATTTCTTGTTATTTCTCTCTCATTTTCAATGATGTTTAATTAATATAAAAATCTAGAATTAGGTCCTAAATGCAAGTATGCTATTTTTTTGAATTTTTTTTTTTATATAGCACCTAAAAATGCACACAAAATGCAAACAAAACACAAAATCATGCAATTAATTCCTAAAAATTCAAATACTAAAAGAAAAATTCTAATTCAAATGAATTCTATAGGAGTAATTTAAGCGTGGCAAAAATCACGTGCTCACAGCGGCAAGCTTCTAACTGGTCGTGAAACGTTTTAACGACCATATTTAAACTAGCCGCGAAAATATTTTAAGGACAAGAAATTTATTGGCCGTGAAACGTTTTAACGATCATATTTAAACTAGCCGCGAAAATATTTTAAGGACCAGAAATTTAGTCCCTAAAATATGCAAATAAGCATCAGAAACATGGTCCTTAAAACACATTTAACGGCCAGTTTGAAACTGGTCGCGAAACTGTTTTAGCGACCGGCACACTATCTCGTCCTTAATAACCTTTAGCGACGGAGGCTATAAGGACCAGATTAGCTGGCCGCTATTGAGCATTTGCAACCAATTCCTTACTTTTAGGGACCAGTTTTCCCTTCGCTATTGAACATTTTTCTTTTAGTGATACTTCATTAGTAAAATCCAGAATCTCCCATTCATCTTCTACATGCATTTCAGTTAGGGAACTATTCATGTTTGGATTGTTTGATGGTTTTTCTACTTCTTCTTCTTTCATTATTTTTTCATTTTCCTCTTTGTTTCCTGTTACTTCTTTTCATTCCTCAAGGGTTTCATGTAGTTAAATTCTTTTACTCTATAGTTTAATTAAGGGTTTAAGATATTAACCTAAATTTTAAAATTGGGGATTTTTACAATTCAATCGATCTTCAAGCGTTTTTTTTTTTTGAATTTCAAGGGAATAAATTGGCGAAGACTACAATAAAGCTGCTTGATAGTGCTTTGAGCGGCTCATATCGAGAGGTAAGGAGTTGAATTTTCACATCCTGGGTAAGCTATAAGAATCCTTTGGCAACTTTTATCTTTCATTTATTGGGATTTTAATTTTCGCTATTTTTAAATCTCCCCTTTCTCTCTCTGTTGACTGCTGTCAGATTGTTGTTGTTTCAACGGTGAGTGGTAATCAAATCTTCACTACTTCTTCATTTCTCTAATCTTTTCTTCTGCATTCTCAGTATAATACAACTGCGGCGCCGAGCTTGTTCTCTTGGCTATTGAAAATCTTAGTCCTATTTGCTATATCTCGCCAGTTATCTTTGATTTTTGCAGGTTTAATGACTTTTGACGAGGAACAAAGGTCGTTGGGGTATAAGTGGCTAAGGTTATTCTCCCTAATTCCATTCCATTGCGTCATTGTGGGATGGTATGAATGAGTTGTTGTGACTTCTAAGCTTAACCCTCCTCTTTTCCTCCCTTTTTTCGTGGCTATATTTCTTATATGTGCTTGTATTTTTGGGTACATGTCGGTTCGCTTTTTCTGCTTGAACAATTATGCGTATGATTTTTTTCACAGTTTATAACTATAATGATCTGGCTGGTATGAATATTCAATTAATTAGACAATTGATCGTTCAATTCCTTCCAACTTGGCATGCATATCCCTTCAACTTGATTTTCCTAGAGCTAATGGTTGAGTTGACATTGGATGCCATTGGTGATTTCTTAAGTTCTTTGTCAGTTGGGAGATAGAAATTGAAACAAGTTTATGTCGAGAAGAGTTGTTTTGCAGTTTCTGAGTAGCGAAAGTTGGTTTACTCTTGAACTTAAATGCAAATGCAGAAATTTCTTTGGTCTCAAATGTTTCAGATGTACTAGATACCTTTGATCTTTGAATGAGTATTAATCATTTCAAGACTTGGTCGTATTGAGCTAATATATAATATTTGCACATGATTTTATCGTTTATCTTCAAATTTGTTTCTCATAATTTATCATTTTAAAATAGAGAGGCTAGGTGGATAAGAATACTAGACAATCAAATGGTATTCTGAGGCGTTCAAAGATTAGAGTTTATTACTCAAATGGTCACTGAACTATCCCAAATTATCTTCTAAAGTCACTTCTCTTTCGTTTGTAACAACAAAGTCACTCAACTATGTCTATTGCACTCAGAAGGTCACTCAACTAGATTTTTCAAATTTTGGATTGCCAAATACCTATTTTACCCTCTAAATTATAAACATTTATCTTCTTTTTATTATTTTTAAACTTTTAATATTATAATTTTTCCTTTTTAATTTATATTATGGACTTAGCTATAGAATAAATAAGTATTATTTACAAATTAAACAAATAAAAAGTATTTAAGCATATATAATGTTGGAATAATAAAATAATGAGCACAGTAAAAAATTAATTAGAATAATTTGTTAGTAATAATAATTTTAGTATTAACAATAAAAATTCAAATATTTATTTACACAATTCAGAATGAAAGAAAATAAGGGTTGTAAAATAAATATTCCATGCACGTAATTAAAAATAATTATTTAAATAAAGGTATTTTTTAATATACATAATATATTCTTGAAATTATGCTCAATTATGTTATATATATTACATGCACGACTTAACATAGCATATTTTACCCTATACAGAGAATCCTCCTGCTTTACGGTGACATAACTTTTGTGTCGTCGAAAGTTGGTAGAAATATAATAATATAATTGAGCATATTTTCAAAAATAATAAATGTTATATAAAATACCTTATTTAAATAATTATTTTTATATTACGTGCATGTAATATTTATTTACAAAGCTTTATTTCTTTCATTCTGAATTGAGTAAATAAATTTGAATTTTTTGTTGTTAATACTATATACTTAATTAATTTTTTTTTACTATGCTCTGGTATTTTATTATTCCGGCATATATATGCATAAATACTTTTTGTTTTTATTTATAATAATATTAATTTATTCTATATGTAAGTCCATAATATAAATTAAAAGGAAAAATCACAATAATTAAAAAGTTTAAAATAATAAAAAGAAGATAAATGTTTTAAATTTTAGAGGTAAATAGGTATTTGGCAATCCAAAATTTGGAAAATCTAGTTGAAGTGACTTTCTGAATGCAATAAGGCATAGTTTAGTGACATTTATTGTTATAAATGAAAGAAAAGTGACTTAGGAGATAATTTGGGATGTAATCTCTCTCTTT